AATGGAGATTATGGGAATAAAAAGTGTTTTAATTATAAATAATAAATTATTATAAGACGAACAATTTACCTGTTATTGTTAAACTCATCGTCTCTCTAAATCAAGAATATATCTGCTATTCTATGAAATATTTCAAGAATATTTCAAGTGAAAAAAGTCTGAGGAATTCTAGCAACATTCTTCTGTTGATATTGCATTCGATGATTGTTATATTTAACCTCATAAAATCGGATATATGGGAATGGGTAGGCCTATATTTTAACTCAGGAATATTCATTTGTTTCGATAATGCGTCAGAATGAAAGGGCTGTCAATGGGAAGTGTGTCATTGTTTTAGAGGCACTTTATATGAATATAGGAGAAAATATTGCGCTTTGTTAAGATGTTTGGGTAGATTTACTTTGCCATCTTGATGCGGCGCTAGCTTGTCAGTTGTTTTGAATTGCGCGCTCAAACTGTTACCAACCGCCAGTGAAATAAACTCCACCCTCGACTTGTGCATAGGTTATCTCTTTCCAAGATTGTTGGTGGGAATATTGCTTTTGAAACCCAAGTATGTATATTTTGTGTGTTCTTTTGACATTTCTATGCTCATCAAGGACTGATATGCTTTGTACTTTATGAAAAGACACTTCCACATGTCTGGCATCACTGAACAGGGCCTGCCTGCCTTGGAAAGTGTTTTAAGCAAGGAACGGTACAGCGCTTGGACTATCGGCAAGAATTCTTACCCAAACGCTCCCTGCTTAAAACGCTTTTAGAAGTTAGTTTAATATACGGAATGTAATAGACACTAAAGTAATTTCAAGATACTTTTATCAATATTTTTTCAGGATATATGTTAATCTTATGAATATTATTTTATATAAAATTCCTAGAATACATACAAAGTACATTATGTATATCAAAGTTTATTATATGCTTAATTTAATACTGTATTGTGTGCCACTAACTTTCAAGTATCAAATAGCTAGAACCAACTAGATTGTTTATATGAATATATATATTTGTATTATGCATGTTTTATCAAAAAGACACGTTATTGTTAATTTTGGGATTGTATGAGGCAATACAGGGGAGGTTGTTGAATAATTTTACTGCCAATTTAATATTTAGTGCCATATTTTCATACAAAGTGATGTAGTGTAAAGATTTTACTATTTAGTTTTGATATAAAAAATATATATACATATATAATGTTATAAAGATACAGTTGTGTGTCTGTCTTGTGCCATATTTTTACAAAGGACGTGTCTTTAGTTTTTTATCTTTTGATACAACATAGATTGATATCACTGTAGAAAGATAATATCTCTTTCCAAAGTACTATGACATGTAGAAACTGTTGCAAGAAATATATTTGAGAGCATTAGTGTATTTAATAAATAATTTCCACAGATCACGTTTCAATAATGAAGCTAATGGAGGTCTTCGAGTTTTGTAATAAATGAAAGGGAAAGAATTCACTGAAAAGTACTTGCTTTAATTACAAGCTTACATAATCAATATACAAGATTCATTTATAAAGAACCCTTCAGTTATAATAATTATTAATTTGTAAAAAAAAAATCACCTGGCAGTTATTCTTCCTACTCATAATGACTGTTTTATGACTAAACTAATATTTACAATATATAATTTACAAGTTATTAATGTTTAACATAATATTCATTTGATTGTGCAAATTGTTCTTTTTTATAAATTAAGTAGAATTTCTAGCTGCCTACATATAACTATGTATCAACAAAAAGCCTTAATAAACTTTTACAAGATCTATCTGGAACTAGATCTTACTAAGTCTCAACCATTCACAGGATCTACAGATTTTCACCTTTCATATACACATCAACACAGTCTGGTTGTTATATTAACACAATTGTACATAACATTAAAAAATAATAAAACAAAAGAAAAAAAAATAGATATTAGCAAACATATGATAAAAAAATGGGGATAAAACTATACAATTGTTACTAAACTATGAATCACCTAAATTAAAATACACACAAAAAAACAAACTAATGTAATCCATATAATATAGTTCCTTGAGACATGTCTTGAAGTACTGGACTCATGACATGAACCAAAGTTTTGGCACCAGAGACAACTTTGCTTTTCTTTTCTTTCTTTATTTCCTTTTTTTTCCTAGCTCAGAACTATACCTTGCTGAATTTCATTCCTGTGAAAGCAGAAAGGTTTGTTATGAATGACAGAAATTGATATTTATCAGTATTATCATCCTAAACCAATTGTTAAGAACAAAAATAATAACAATAATTAAAAGAGTAATATAAAATATGTTCAATCAAATGAACAAGTAAGGACTACAGAAACTGGCCACACAAACCTTCATCATTTGAGTAACAGTTATGGCAGTGCAGCTTGTGATTGCGTACTCGCACATCAGCACCTGCTGACCCATTGCCTAATTGTATGCCACACACACAACACTTGAAGCAAGGAATATGATAGAAGAGTCGCAAACTTTCAATGATCATGGCAGCTCCTCGACCTGTAAGAATAAGGACAAATTGATTTAAAACTCAGGTGTAGAGAACATTTTGTTTATTTGTAAACTTTACTAATACCTCATTGCAATAATAAACATAATTGCATTCAACAACACTTTTGATACTATACATATATATATAAGTAAGACTGCCCAACAACAGATTGTATACACAGAAAAATAACATACCCAGTTCCTCTGAGCAATGCGAACACTTCTTTTTCCCCGAGACACTGAGCAGCCTTTGATCTTGTCCACTCGAATGGTCCTGCGACTGAGAGTTGAATGGAGGCTGCTGGCTTGGCCCCATGCCAGACTGGTAGAGGGGAGTGTGGGTGGAAGGAGCACTTAGAGCATCAGCATTCATGTAGTCATGATAGTTCTCATCACGGTAGTTGTTATTGCCGTAGGTGTTTCCTAGTCTGCAAAGATAATTGTCACATATTTAATTCATGTTTTTTCATAACGAATCATCATCTGGTGGATAATTATACTTCAACTCTTAATATCCTTCATAAAATATGAGATGTTTCATAGATAAACTAATTATATAATGAAAAATTATATGAATTCTTACCTTCCATTAGTATTGGAGTAAGTATTCTTGCTGTTTTTATTATTGACTCTCTGTGTTATGTTATGGATAATGGAGTCAGGAAGAGCTTTGTCGCCATTGGGTGCCTGGGTGGGCATGTGTGGCTGATATGTAGTGGCTTGATTTCTCCACATGTTGTTGTTGTTGTTATTATTGCTCTGGATTGGTGATGGATTCTTGAGGGCTTGAGGGTAGCTGGAGTAAGTAGGACTTGCATTCTGAGGTGGGTAAGTAGGAAGGTAGCTGGTGGTCTGTGGGTGAGGTGGCTGCTGTGGGGAGACTGACTGAGGTGGCAGAGTCTTTGGGGCTGGGGCACGTGCCTGCTGCTGGCGGTTGACTCTGTCTTGCTGTTCCAGTCTTCTCTGTTCTGCCTCCTGTAAGGTTGAATTTTCAATTATTACACAGGTTATAATATATTCAAATATACATAATATTTTCCATCTTGCAGTCAGTCTCTTGACAATTAAATTTAAAGGCAATTTCTTTACTTTAAATATTTTAAAGCTGCTTATACCTAAAAGAAATAAAATAACTTGCCTGGTGAAGCCAATGTTTACTGTAATCTCTTCTTTGCGACTCTGGTTTCTTCTTGGTGATCCAGCTTTCATTATCTGTGAGCCGAGGCTTCGGGATGGCAGAGAGCGCTAGGAGAGTCTGTTTGGACATCTGCTGACCTGATGGGGATACAGCCTCTCCTTGGATTTCCTGTGGCTGTGGTGAGACACTGTTGGGGTTGCTTGTGGGCATTCGGCTCAATCTGGAAATATGTATTTCATTCTATATTGATCTAAATATTGGCTATGAAGACACTACACTCATTCATTTGTACCTTACAACAGCTTAGATTGTAAAATTGTATCATGTTTTTTGTTTTTTATACGTTAAAATATGGTGATACACCTTTCGTGTTAAGACGAAAATGAATTCTATATTGAAAATGTCATCAGACATTACCTTATTGCTTCAGAACGTTCTGTAGAATCTCCAGAAATTTGGTGGGGCTTGCTGGGAGGAGGCGGTGGTAACTTCTTCTTCCTGGGGAGGGGCTCTGGAGCGGGATCACGGGGAGAGCCTGTGGGGGACGACCTAATACCCTGAAGAGGAGGGTGAATGGGTGGAGCCCCAATGCTGGACTGGGAGTGAGACCGGGTGAATGGGTGGGGAGAGGCCAGTGTGCTATACTGAGAGGGTGACCCGGTAGGTGGAGACACAGCTTTCTGTCCTGGGCTGGCCACTCCCTCAGCTGGTGCCAGGCTGCTGGGTGGTGTTGGCTCATATGTGGGGGCTGTGTAGAACTCCTGGATGGGAAGCTGTGGTGCTGGTGGCTGGTAATTGCTGTAGTTATTGTTTTCAGCTGTTTGAGGTGCCTGTGGTGAGGGCACAGGTGCTCCTTCTTGGGAGGCATACATGGTAGGGGGAGGAATGTGGGCAGGCTGGGCATCATTGCTGATTGTTGAGGCTGGTGCCAGCTTGCCTGCCCGTTGAAGCATGTCCTGGTCATGCCTCATCATTTCTTCCTCCAGTTCAGCCAATTTCTAGGGGATGTACATTAGCAAGTTAGTAACAATACAAATATTCTTACCTGTAAATCATACCTGCTTTGTTTCTTATGTTAATATGAAATTAACACTTGAATAAAATTGGAAATATATTATAGTTCATTAATAGATTTTGAAAATTAATTTTGACCCACCACCAAGAGAATCAGTCAGCTTTATATAATCATTCCCATACAACAAAAGAGAATTAGATAATGTAGGAGAATCAGAAGATTTCGTAATTACTTTTGTCAATCACAATAACCCATAAAGTGCATTGTAAGTCTAGCACAAGAGCAAACAATAATCATGCTTTCCCAAAGGTCCATGATAAGAAAATCAGTCGGTGAGAGGATTAAACAATTTTGAAAAAAAAATCTTACATGCTGAAAAAGTATAAAAACAGTTCTACTATAGATGAACTGAGAATTTCAGGTTGTTTATTACCATACATATCAAGGGATTATGTGGAAAACTTAGTTGTTTCCTTCTGATTTTCATTTCTTTAATGACAAGTCTAAAGAAACCTTAATCAAAATAAATTCTATCAAAAATCATACAAGGGTCTCTTGAAACAAACTAGAAAGGATTATTTTTAGGTATTCTACTGTTTCCTCTTGTGCCTATCAGTCCCTGGGTGTTCACCTTATACGGGTCAGGATGTGAGCCAGTTGAAGCAACTGAGTCGCTACTGTAGTCCAGAGTACTGTAGTGGGACTCCAAGAGATCTGTGTACTGCTGGCTAGATTCAGGTTGCACATTATTTTCTGCTTCAACTTCCATTTGGGTTTGAGTTGGAAGAACTTTAGCAACAGTAGTATTTGGCTCAATGACATGGGTTTCAAGCATTTCTGCTTTTGTTTCCACACTGTCAACAGTGTCTTTAGAGGAAATGGGAAGGGCTTCAAAAGTTTCATCTGGACTTTGAGAACTTGTTTCCATGGTCTCCAGTTCTTTAGAGTCCATAACAGATTGAGAGGTTGTGGGGATGTTAGCAGAGGTTACTGGGACATTCGTGGCAACCTGGATGTCTATATCCGATTCTGAGGACGTTGACTCAGTCTGGGCCTGGGAAGGAGATAGGGTAGAAGAGGTGATATTTGAATGGTTTTCTACATGCTCTTCCTCACATTTTATTTGTGTGTCTGTGATTACAGTGTCTGCAGTTTCTTTACTGTCAATGGATGCATCTGAATCAAGCTCACTTGGAAGAGGTAATGAATCATCAGAGCTATCACTGTCACACAATTTACACTCATCATCTATATTAAATCTAACAGTTTTTTCCTTATAGCTCTTTTCAGATTTTGTCTCACTTATCAGTGCTGAAACTGTAGGCACACTTGAAACTATTTGGGAGTCTGAATTCACAGGCTCAGTAATGTGCTGGGTGTCAGGTGCTGTGGGTTTCCCAGAAGGATCTAACAAGCCTGGAGAATTCAAATCAGAATTTGGTGATGATGGTGATGGTTCTGCATCTGGATGTGCATGAGAAATAGTTGAATTTGCTACTGACTGTGGTGATGTGCTACAGGGTTCTGATAAAGAAGCTTCAAGCACTGATTCAAAAGTATCATTTGCAATAATAGAATCACATGATACACTATCAGAATGCTGTAAAACATCAGCCCCTTCTTTCTCATCCACTGAAGGAGAGGACTCAGAAGGTTGCTGAATATTTACATCAGTCTGTAAATTAGGATCCACTAAACTATATGTTGTGGAAGTCACAGAACTGTAACTCGTGTAAATTGGATCACTGACACTTGAGAGGGTTGGGGCAGTCTGATCTACAGATTCATTAGTGCTAACATGTACTGTGGGGGCAGAAGATGATGATATAGGAGCAATGTCCTGGGAAGGTGTAATAGTCAATTCTGGGGACATTATGCATGGAGAATCAGTGCAAGGGACACTCTCTGGGGATGCAGACTTTGCTGATGCACAAGCAGAGATTTTGGGAAGAGGGGAGGAGGGAGAAGGGGTAACAACATCAGAAGTTGGGGTGCTCTTTTCTGAGATGGTAGTTGAAGGTGTTGCCATTTCTTCACCCTCAGGGATTGGTGTCAGACTGGGGACACCACATTCAGGGGGTGCAATAGGCAGGGGAGGAGGGGAGGAACAAATCCCCCTGTGGGGAGAGGCACTGCCTGATACCTCATCTCCCTCAGGAAGTGGAGACAGAGTAAACAAGTCACTATGAGAGGGCATGCAAGCTGCTAAGCTAGAACAAGGATGAGTGGGGTTAGCGACAGGTGATGGAGGAGGTGGAGGAACTGAATTAAAGCCCTGTGGACAGGAATCCCTGTCTACACTCATCAACTGTAAAATGAATATGAGAAAGGCATTCATTATTCAAGGAAACTACATATACTACATATACATTCTACATGAACTGGATTTTCACTGTAACACACACTTATTGCTATTCTGAAGTCCATGCTAATTCCAGTTCATTCATGTAAAAAAGAAGGCTTCTGGAATGTTAATGCTAAGTATACTTCTAGGGATATAAGTTATGTCCTCCAGTTTTCAAAAATGTAAAATCTAACTATTATTTTAAAACAAAATGATATTTAGTTGATAAAATACAAATAAATAATATTGAATTTAATTAAGTATTTACTTACATTATGCTCTATATATTAACAAGTAAAATAGAGAATACAGTAAGTAACAATGTATATCTAGATTACAGCAAATCATAAGTAATTTGTTCTTACTGGTTTCTTCTGAAAACCTGTCATGCAATTACTCTTGTTCAATACATAATTAAATCAAATGATGATTTAATTTTAAAATATACTGCTAAGTCATGAGGTACTATCAAACACACAAATGTGATTACTCATCTAATGCTATATACCTATGAAAAACAACTTCTTCCATAATAAACTTTGACAACTTACCACCTGGTATTCTAAGTGTTCGCTTAATTGCTTTTGTTCCTCTGTCATTGTTGTTTCCTCTGCCATGTGATCTTGCCAAGTATACTGCAATTGTTGCTGCTGCTGCTGCTTCAGCTGCTCTGAGCGCTCCAGACTTTCAATTATTTCCTTCTCACGGCGAGCAATTTCTGCTTTGCTTAGTGTCTGTTTAAAGAATTGAACATTATCAATTTCAGTGGTCATTTGCATGGTACTCCTTTTAGTTAAAAGCTACGATGAAAAAAAATAATAAATCAGGCTTTTCCTAAGGAATCTTAACACATGTACAGTATATTCAGTCTATGAGTATCAAAAGGTACCTCTTGGATGGGAGTCCTGGCACGCTGCGACTCAGCCATGATGCGTTCTGCCTCACGCTCCTGCCTCAGAAGCTCACTGAGGTCTGGGGGAGGCTTAACAGTTGGTTCTGTTAAGAGGATGAAAACTAGCATTAGAATTCTATGGCTGTAGCTAATGACTACTCTTAATTTGCATGTGATGAGTCATTTACATAAGTCTGTATCTTTTGAGAACACGAGTTCAGGTGCAAAAATGTTTAAGAATGGGATATATCACACTTTTTACGTAAAACAGGTGCATGAACAGATCACAACCTGTAGTGCCATAGCTTACCTTCTTCAATATATTGTGAGGATGTGCCCAAGAAGTCTGACCTCCTCCTCCAGAGTTCCTTCTTGATGCGGCGGGTTGAGTTCTCCCGGGTAAAAGGCTCATCCTATATACATCCAGTAAATTATAGTAATGTCTGTCTTTTTCATTCACATCTAGTTCAGTGATCAATTATAATTCCAACTTCTTTTTCCTGTTTTATTTTACTTATTATTATTATTATTTTTTTTACTAAACACAACACCATCTATTTCATGTCCCTTTCCCTTGTCTGGTAGTTTCAAATTCTGAGTTGTCATTTTAACTCTTCTTAACATATCAAAATTTCAAATGATTGAGAGTAAATTATTATTACTTAAATGCATGACAAAATCTACAAGTTTTTAAGAGCACAACACCATTATTACCAGTAAAATTAACAGTACTCAGCAAAATACTGCTACAACTCTGCACTAGAATCTACATTACAAACATTCTTTCTATTCAACTTGGATAACTGTACTGACCTTAAGAATGCAACATATTTTGTGGCATGCAATTTCCCTGGACTATTACTAGTGCTTGGGATATATACTTCTACCCTAATAATTTCAACACAAGTTTACTGCATTTCTATAACACTGTTACTTGAAACTTTTGCAAGGAAAAAAGAAAAACCTCAACAAAGATATGCTGAAATAAAAATAGTTTCAACTGGAAAGTATGTCCATTCTGTTTCCATATCCTGACATGAGTCAATATATTTCCATGAGCTTAATATGTCTTCTTACTTACTGATCCCAAAATTGATTTTTTTTAATCATGAAAATCTCCACTCAGCTAAGTATCCTTCATCATATAATAAGCTTTATGACAAACTCAATTTATGTGAAAGGAATTCATCTTTTAAAGGGTTGACAAACTACTTCATGAAAATTATTCATGTATCTTATTTTAGGGTGCTGTTATTACTTCAATTTTACCTACTTGTGATTAAGGTGTCCATCTGATCTATTTAGCACTCAAAAAATAGCAAATTTATCCTACAAAATTTAATTACTTTTGAACTTCAGTACTTTCATTATGACTGCTTATATTATACTACACTTTTTTTAGGAGACACATACTACACAAAAAAATAAATAAATAAAATAAATGAGTATCTTTACCTTTTTCCATGTCTATCAGAGATAAAGAAAGAAAGATACAGAAGAATATAAAGAGATTGAATTTCCAAGGCAAAAAAAAAAAAAAAAAAATGAGAAAAAATTGCAATGTTTAACGGAGTTGCTTATCAATTAGGTAAATAAAAGCATAGTAAAATCTCAAACAAAAAGGAATTAACAAGATTTTTGGAAGGCTCTAATAGGAAACCAGATTTAGAAGTACGGAAAAGATATAATTCAAGTCTCTCGGCTCTGAGCCTAAAGAAAGGAGTGCTTTGTATGTGCATATAGAAAGAATTTTATATTTATAGACATATAAAGTGTTTTTAGAAAAGTGTTTAAAAGTGAAGTCAAGGAAAAAAAAGTGTAATCATATCCTGTAATAAATCAATTTCTCTGTTTTTCTCAACGGTTGTGTTAAAAGTACGTTCTCGACCAAAGTGCAGTACCCACCTCCGCCTGCTCTGGTAGACCCTGTGGCTGATCTGATGCATCGTCGTCAGAATCGTCATCAGGGGGAGGGGGGGGGAGGGGCACGCAGGGTGGGGCCGCCTGGGAGGGGCCGTCCGTCCACGTCACGTCTAGCACCTGAGTAACCCACGGCACAGTGCCAAAACCAGTCATGCATTAGCACTCAACACCTGATCCTGTGACAC